GTTTTGAAATCGGGTTGTGCACATTGTGAGTGTGCGTTTCAACTGGGCTATGCAACCAAGGCTACCAATGAGCAACAGGGAAGATGTCACCTTCAAGGAAGGCCAGGCATCTGCGTCTACGATTAAACCCAATGACGTTACATATATTCATTATGAACATAATTGGAAATTGTCAGTAAACTCTTGAATATGCATTTGGTCATTCTAAGCCGCTTAAGATTTATTGTGACAAATACTCCGCCATTACGCCTTAACTCAGTTTATTCGACTTTGTTTAGTAGTAGCAGTAGTCATCGTAATAGTAGTAGCTTTTGTTGTTGTTGTACGAGTTTAGAAACCTTCTAGAGCCAACATACTTAAATTGTGAATGTTGACTGAAAGTGAAATTTGTGGAGAATGCGAAATGAATGCTGGCAATTAAGGGTGCTAGTTATTTATGCTTTCAAATGTCCAATGACAACACAACAAAAATGGTGTCACTAAGCAGACCTTTAGAGACGAGTTGAGTAGAAAACAGAGGATAGCCCAAATGCATCATCAAAGAATGCAATGACTTTGTAAAAATCAAGACGATTGAATCACCACAAGTTGGTAAGCATCAAAAACTGTGTGCATGAAGAGAAGCTGGTCTTAGAATAATCGCCAAATTGGGTGAGGTTGACGTCACATGAACCTTGTTTAAAAGTGATTCATAACTTGGCCTCACCGGAAACCGAAGACGGATTGCTTTGAAGTTGTAACTGATGCATTGTGTAAGGACCTCGGCTCCTCTACATGAGATGCCGATGAGTCTCTGATGGGTTATCGTCCGTCGTGTCACAGACCTCGTCGGGACAAGAAACTATCATTTTGGAAAAACCTGATTTTGCGTTATCAACTAGACACCATCATGTTCTGTATTGGTTTGACATCGTTTGCGCAACTTGGTCGTGACTTCGTAGAAGTTACGCAGTTCTGCTTCCTCTCTCACAGTACTTATGACCATTTTCAGTATCGGGCCTTTGACTCGGTGCAATCCCAGACTCTTTGATGGCATCTTCGGAGCTGAGTTATACCTATTCAAAGTGGTCCCACCATAAAAGTTGGTCGGCAATCTTAATGAAACATTCCATATTCTGGTTAGCTTCTTCGTTATTTCCTGTCGTGCTTGCGAAGGAACGGGATTGAGGCATGAGAAGAAAGTTGACGAAGTCCATCTGTTTCCTTACATGCGTCAGCTAAACTATGATCCGCCAATTCTGACGCGTTTTAGGTTTGTGGCTGCATATACCCTGTCTGTATGCAATAGTACTTGTTTAATTTCCTGCAAGATGTTGCTTGTTTTGTTAGTTTCAATTGAAAATATAATCTTGGATTTCGGACAACTCTGAAATGCATGTTCAGCCACCTGTGATTTGTGGATTCGTGAACCTTTACAGACGGTTTTGTGTTAGGATAACCACTTCTGTACGCCTGACAACCTTATCTGCAGAGGTGGACTGAAGATACTTGATATGCAGGCAAGATCAAGGGGACTGGTAGTCTCTATTTATGCATACTCCTTACGCCCCATTTACTCACAAGTTCATCCTACTTTGTTAGAAGCTAGTAGGACGATGACATCAGAAATCTGGATGTAGAGTTGTCCAGTTTCCTGTGTTGCTCTAAAGAGTCATTTTTATTCAAAAAATGTATTACTATTATGAATTAAAATGTTGCTTGAACTTTATAGTCTTGCTCTTAGTCATCAACGTCTGCTAAATGCTAAATCTTTAATAAATCTAATTTCATAGCTCCTATTTTAACAGCATAATTATGGGTATAGAATACGTTAAAAAATAAAGCCTACATTGTTGTGTTTCCGAAGTACATCTCTACTCAATTTTGTTCCTTTTTTACTAACCGGGAAGTAGTAAATCCGAAATTACTATCATTTGACAAATCCATTGTGAATTCGGTCTTGGAACTTCTTATATTCATTAATGCAATGAATTTCTTCCGACCAAATTTCACCTTCAATAGATTTCGAAACTACCGCTCAATCGTGAATAAGAGCTGCATTCACCCCAGGTCACATAAATTGACGAAGTATTAATAGTTGAATTTTCTCACAATCACATGAATTTCATATCGCCTTGTTTTCCCAAAAGGTGTTCTCATCCAGAATGAACTGCAGTTTCGACCTCGCCTAGGCCTTAATAACAACCCCAACGGGACTCTAACCATGACAGTGCAGCGTATAATCTCTACACGTTAATCACTACGCCATATTGCCATGACTGCCCTTGGGTCACAGGACACATGTGAATTTTAAGGAAGGCCAGACATTTTCCCATATCACATTCTGTGTTGGGATTGTCGATGAAGCTAATTTATATTTGCTATAACAATCGACAACACTACTTATATTTCGTTTTGAGTAGACACAGCTCATATGCATGTCTAGGCGTCACGATGCCGGTGGATTTCATTTGGTTGTGCATTCTCAGACAGGATGAATTGCAATTTAAACCCCGCCTGGCTCTCGTCCGCACCCCCAGCAGGAATCGAATCCGGGTTCTACAGGTTACCACTACTACTCTGTCTCGTGATCCACCCACGCCGCTGGCAGAATGGTCTGGTGGTATCATATCGGACTAGCTGGATTCGATTCCATTTGGAGGTAGTGATGAGACCAGTTCAGATGAGGTCAGAAGCGCAGTCCATCCTGGCCGGGATGATAATACCTTTTTGGAAGGAAAGCTAAATGAAATGGAGCGTAACTGTGAGGCCAACTCATATGATTGTGGGAAAATGGAAATATCGTTCCTTCGTCAACTTTGGCGACAGCTCTTATCGCCACATACTTTCTAGGTCCGGCTAGCGAATCAAACCAACATTTTAGGGACTAGATGTGCCTCGAAGATCCTCTGAGAGATGCCTCCATAAGTTTAATAAAATTGGAGAAAATACTAAACTTTGTGTTTGCTCACATCCATAAATGTAAAATATGTACTATCCATTACTTTAATTCGCCTTTTCAAACCAAGTTAAATGTGTGAAAACATCAGAAAAGGTCACATTTAATGCTGTTTCCCACTTATTGAGGCCTCTTGTGGAGGCAAGTAAGTGGCTGTGGGTGACGTGTGAAGTGGATGGGATTGTGACTGAGCAGCCTTTTTCTCACCGAAATCGCCCGCTATTTCATCCGACACTGTTGACCAGTGTACTTGTGTTCTCCTGCGTGTGCACTGTGTGTATGCAATGTTGTTGTGTATTGTCTCTCCTATTCTTCCATCTCCTGCCACCTTTCTCAACTCCTAGTTTAAATTCAATTTCATACCTTTGTTGCTTATAGTCACGACGTTGGTTGCAGGGTTTGTTTTTATATTTTCCATAATGTCAGTTCTCCATAGCAACCAAGAGATTGGGCTTTTTGTTGTCCCATAATCGAGATGAGTTGATTTCCCAAAACGCTGTAGGTCTTGAATAAATGCTGTATTCGCATTAGGTGGCATAAAGTGAATTTTCCCACCTCGTCTCAAACTTACTGTCCTGTTCAAATCATTTCTACTGTATGGGTCTGCAGGTCTTTCACACACTGACATAACGACATAAACACACAATCACGTTACAACTAGATCGCGACTTTGTACAAAGGCTCAGTGATAACTTCCATTTGCGAAGAAACCAATTAATGAATATCTTCGCACAAACTAACGGGTTCGCT